AAAAAAAAAGTTCTGAGGGACCCATAAATCTCCACGTTTCACACGATTCTCAATCGTTTGAATATATATTTGCGAGACAATTTTTCCCCAATTTGTTGAACAATTTTTCGCATTTACAAAAGTGAATTCATTTTTCTCATTCCGTCCATCGATTGTTTCTCCATCATACCCCCACTCTGCTCTATATGGGATGTTTTCTTTCGTCACGATTTCCTGGAATTATCGACACTCTCGCGTTTGCTGGTCTTTCCGAATTATCGACACGCTCGGGCTCGCGCTCTGCTTTATCTATACCCACGCCCTCCGAAAATTACCGACACTCTTGCCCTCGCGACCTGTTTGATTCACAGGTACACCCGCAAAATTAGTTCGGCTCGGGCGGCCAGACAATTTCGCGGTTGAAGCTTCGCCATTGGCGTTAGCAATCTCCCCTATAATCTCTGCTAATAGAGCTCTGTCAGTCTGTGAATATTACCGAGTAGATTTCTTGCGCATAAAACAGAGAAAAAGACCATTAATTTCTATACAACTGCATATCCTACTACCACTACGGCGACATTGAGGCAGTATTCTAAAACAAGTAGTACCTCCGCTTAGTTGCACGAGTACATCAGTACGCATGCGCGTTACCAAGAGCGGGGAGGGGATAATGTGGATGGTAAATGACGCTAGAAAAATGACCGACACCATATTCGTTTAATCTACATAGGTTGTTTATGAAAAGTACGCGAGTGACCAAACCCTTTATTTTCTCACTCGGAAAAAATGCGATGCGTTTACTGCGGAAAAGCGAAGGAGAAAAATAAGGAGATATCTTTTCATCGGTGAGTATATAGTAGGATTTGATTAATGTCAAATTATTCACCGAAAATATCAATTTTCGACATCAAAAGTAGTTATTGAAATATTTACCAGGTTGGTCATTACTGGTGGGATTTTAAATATAGAAAAATTATTCATACCTCACATTTTAATTATCTATTAACTAAATAATGCGAATTACTATCCCATAACTTTACAATAATTGAATAACGCATCATTTTCTAAACTAGGTATTGCTGGTTGAAATAATTTTGAATTTCATTGCTCGATTATTGATGTAAAATTCAGTCAATTGGTCATTGAAGGATTAAAAAAATGCAAGTTTGAAATTGGAATTGATAATTAGATGAATATGGAAAATTTATTGGGTAGTAGGTGATTTTATACACAATAAAGTAGTAATAATTACATTTTATCATTTTGATTATGAGTAATCATATATTATTCAAATTGTTCACTTTTAATGCATAGATTTCCCAAGGATGAGAAATTGGTGAAAACCTGGGTGATGAATATGGGAAGACTCGATTTGGTGCCTAAACAGTGGCATATGCTTTGCGCAGAACATTTTTCCAAAACTTGTATAGATTTCCGGGACTTGAGAGCAAGGTTGCGGAAGGGTTCCGTCCCAACGATTTTCAAGCATAATAAGGAGAACTTTTCCTTACCATCCGCTACAGAACTTATCGTACACGTCAGCAAACGTGAGTTATATACAATCGTACGTTTATGTTTCCTAGGAATCGTTTTTTTTCTCATATTGAAAAACCCTAAAAATCTGTTTCGTTGCGAGATCGAATATAAAAATATTGTCAATAAATATACATGTCCTGATCAATTCATGTATTTTAGAACAGAAACTTGATGGAAGTTCAGGTGGACAAGAAATACCCGAAAAGGACTTACATATCACGTCGCCAATGAAAATACAAGGTAAAGTTTCAGACATTGTGAATACATCCAGAAAGTGTCAGGCATGAGACTAAAGATTTTTTGTCACATTTACAGGCCAACGTCAGGAAATATGTGTAATACAGACTGAAGTGATTTCTCACGACCATACATATGTGGAGTCCGGCGAAGTCACCCAACGTAAGTTAGAAATTACGCGAGCCAGAGTCAAAAAACTGATGAATGAAAAAAAGATGCTTCAACAAAAGATATACCGATATCAGAAGAGAATTAGAAAATTCAACGAGAACGTCACCATAATGTGTTAAACCAAGAATTCTGCCATTAGGAATATTGCTGAAGAGTATATATATATACTCTTCATTTTTGTCCACCTGAGGCTGATAATTATGTTAGGAATATCTTGGAAGCAGCAAACCCTCATCTATGTGTTTTACATTCTTGCTCTATAGTACTATACAATCCGAACCTGAGTTTTCAGGGAAGTGTTTCAATTAAGTTATAGTTGTTTACGGTGGGTAATAAAATAAGTTTTTGGAAGGAAGAAACCGATTTTCGATATCTTCGTTAATAATTAAGTTAGAAACCTCCCGTTGTGTTCTTTTTCTCATGTTTAGTTAAATTATTGAATTACAAATATAAAGAAAAATTAATTTGGCAGGGAATTTCTCATTTACAGAATTGGTAAAAACTAATTCAATCATTATTAATAAATAGATTAGATCGCGAAAGCCAACAACTCAATCAAATAGTTAATTAGAACTTGATTAAAATCCGATGAAAATGGTAATATGATTTTCAGGAATTTTAGAAATTTTCAGGAATTTAAAGAACATAACCACAAAATTCGATTCACCAATCCATTTAAAAATTTTATCAATCAGTTTCACCTTCTTTTTAAAAATGATTGACTAATATAATTAACAGTAAATGTATGGTTGAGCCCCCCCCCCCCCCCCCCAAATTCAATATCGAAAGTGTACTAGCCCTCGTGCTTACACGCAGGATTAGACAACAACGGATCACTCACAATAATTTTCGTTCGATAATCTAAAGTCGTAAACGCACCAGTACCAGTATGTTCAAGAGAAACGTCCCATCAGACAGAAGAATAGCAGCATGTCTTCAGACAATGTCCACCTTTATTACACCTTGCATCCTGACTGAACTGACACACGGGAAAGGGTTATCCAACGGAGGTCATGAAATAGTTGCGTGGGAGCTCGGTATGGGAGCTCGGAACAAAATATTATATAATTGTTAATTATAATTTAATTACAGAATTTGCTGAAGGAAGGGTAGCGGAGTGTTTATACCCAGATCGATCATCTACGTCACTTCCTGGGGGGTTGAGTAACAGACAATTATCACATTCCGGGAAAAAATATTGAGGGACGGGGGAATTAATTTCAAATATGAAAATCGAGATCTGATTCAATATGTTTAACTTTTTTTTGTGTTATATCCTTGAAATTATTTTTAATTAATTCCCAGTTCGCAATTAAATTTACTGATCAACTTCAAAATTTCACATTCTATTCAATAATATTTTCAGAATCGTCGACAAAAGAAATGAGGAGCGAAGTATTTCGGAGATTAAGGGGGGATCCTGCTTTAGAGACTTCAAAAAATCTATATTTTCAACGATTTTTTTGGAAAGGAAAGAAATGTCTGATTGAAATGAAACTTTTAGGATTTATTCTTATATATTTGAAGAGTCTTCTCAAATTTTTTTATTATTACAAATTAGATATTCTTCATGTTTGAAGAAATTTACGGAGGCGCCTAGAGTGTGCAATTTCTGTGTGGCGGGCAAGATGCAGGTCACAATTTTCATCTGAAACAAAAAAAAATGAATTTTTTATTTTCAATAGTGTAATTCCTAGGTGAACCAAGAAAATTCAACAAGAAGTGAAAAATTCAACAATTTTCCGCAGATTAAAAAAAATGCATTAAAAAAAAATTTACTTTGAGTCGTTTAAAGATCGGATTAATGTTAACTTTCTGGAGGTATTTTAGGTTCACCAAGAAGAGAATTTAATGACAAATACAACGCATTTTGATTCGTTTCGATAGGACGTTTACTTTTATTCCTATCTTGCCCGCCAATTTGAAAAAATCATAAAAATGGAAATCCGAGAAATCGCGTGTCAAAGTTTTCGTTCACAAAAAATCGTAAATTTCTTGAACTTACCCTATTAATATGATAATCAGCGATTCCTGCTCCATATAACGGTCCTTCGGACTCTTCAAAAAATTGGTTTTCGGCCAATTGCTCCATTCGTCGGGCTGTTCTGGCCTCTTTGGTCACCAATGAACGGCGCCTGTTTTGGCGCGTGATGCGCTGCTCGTCCGCTTTATCGCAAAAAAGTTTGCACTAGAGCCCAATTTTTAAGTCTAATAGGATAGGTCTCCATATTTTTAAGATGCTCACGTACTGAGAGACAAATTAAAACTGAACCAGAAAGCAAAATGTAGCTTTATTATAGCGGATGTTAGCCAGCTCACCAACACCCTGAAACTAATAGTTTTAGCCCCACAGACCTTCTATAGACAGTTAAGCTGTAATATTATAATATACATAATAGATCAAGGGGTGGAGCAAGCGGGCTCCAGACGGTCCAGCCGCTCGTATACCTGCTCGACGCTTGCTCACTATTTTGTCTGTATCTCCGGAAATAATCCGAATTTTGTTCTGAAATTTTGGAGACATATTCTTGGATGGTTTAGAACAGGCATGGGCAATCTCCAGGTAGCTCGGAGCAGAGCCATAAACTCGAATTAGAAATCCAATAAAGTTTACAACCATTTCAATAATAAGGGTCTTAGTACTAGCATAGTGGGGGCAGTAGTGGGGGCTTCACAGGTACTAAGGTGGGGAGTATCCCATGAAGCATCTGGCAAGAATTTATCCTCCGGAAGAGGATAAATATAGAGGTCGGGAGCACGACTTGCTCTCAGAGCAGAGTTTGCCCAGCCCTGGTTTAGAATCTAAACCTGGGGTGCCCAGGGCTGAAAAAAAAAAGAAAAAAAAAAAAAAAACCAAAGGTAGTTACCTTACGCATAAGATTGCCTCGTCGATAAGGTGATTACACAGTTACCCGTTACCCCTTCTAGTAACACTCATTTAAATCAAAG